CGTCCTGGTTCCTGCATCCACACCAATAAACTCACACTTTGTCTTTCGACACTGTCTGAAGGTACAAGCTACTAGAGATACGGGGTGTGGAGGGTGTCCTGAGTTGACCAGGGGGTTGTGCGCCGGGCCCTCCTGCTCGGCTCCAGCCGGTAGACAAGTCTTGTCATCAACAGAGTAGATGTATCTGACCTCGGGGCCGATGTGACCAAGCGCTGGTAGCGTGGTTTTACCTCACACCCATGGTCTCACAGTGTGCCGGCAGTCGCCGAGTCGCCGAGCAGTGTCGCTCACACAAGCCGCAGCACAAGTGACTGAGGGCCAGTGAGGGCGAGCCCATCGCTGTCACAGCTGTGGCAGCCGCACAGTATGCTGTGTCAGCTGTGCAGAGTGTGTGAGCAGCAGAGGAGCTGCTCTCCAGGCTTCTGTCGCAAAGAGCTGCATGCCACCAAAAGCGCTGTCGAGGTTCGCCGAGCGCGGCCCGGTAGAAGCGAAGCCTCAAGATCATGAACCGACGCGGTGAACCCTCAGATTTTAGGACGCTGTGCAACCCAAACCTCCCTATATAACTATTACTTGCGTGTGGAGAAGTTTATACCTTACCATGCGCAGCTGCAGCTCCCGTGTGAGACTGGGTCGGTGCGCGCCGCCGCGTGTGCCGCTCTCTCTCATCCCAGCCCAAAGGAGTTGTGGCGCGCCCGCGGCGCTGCCTGCCCGACGCGCCACGTGAGCGGCCAGAGAGAGTTGGCGAGGACGACGAGCAGGCCGCCAGAGTCGGAGAGGACCGAGAGCCACAGCGGCAGCCCACACGTCGCCGCGAGGCCGATGACAGCCACATTGATGCTGAGAGCGAGCAGGAGGTTGGTGAGCACGAGTCGGCGCGCGCGTCGGGCGATGGTGACCGCCGCGGGCAGCTGGTCGATGTCCACTTGGAGGACCGCCGACGCGGCGTCGACGGTCGCCTGCGTGCCCACCTCCTGCAGCACAATCCCCACGTGCGCGCTGGCGAGCGCGGGGCAGTCGTTGAGGCCGTCGCCGACGAAGCCCACGACCAACGGGCCGCGACCCGCCCTCGGCAGCATGCTCTGCTCCAGGTCCTGCGCGCGGGGCTCGTCTTGCGGCCAAGTGTGCGCGAGGATAATCCGCTGCTTGTCGGCGGGCAGCAAACCTACACACCACAGCCACAGTGAACAACTGCAATGTGCTACTCGGGCAAGCGATGACAGTCGGCAGCAAGCCCGCGTGCGTGTCCGCTTCGCCGATGCCGACGGCTCTCGCCACGCGTCGGGCCGCCGCCGAGCGGTCCCCCGTCAGCAGGATCGGGCGCACGCCGAGGCCTCGCAGCTGCTGCACGGTGGCGGCCGCCTAGCTGATGCATGAACCCGTCCACCAGGCTGTCTGCCCACGAGGGCCGGCTGCACGGCGGCGGCCGCTGCACCTCTCGTGGCAGCGGTGGACGGCTGTCGTGTGGACGGCTGTCGTGTGGACGGCTGTTTTGTTGTCGGTGCTTCGTTGCTGCGCCGCACCGCAGTTGTTAGGGCGTGTGCGCGCATGGCTGTACTACGCGGCTGCGCCTGCGGCTTGAGAGCGTCGTCCAGCAGCATCACGCCGCCGACGACGCCGTCCACAATCACATAGAGCACGCTGCCGCTGCCGGCCTGCTCGCTCGTGATCTCCGCCGCGAGGCGCTGCGCGGCGTCCGCTGCCTGCGCCGTGACCACGCCAGAGTCAGGGCGTGGAGACGGCCTCGTGGTGTACCCGGAGCACCGCGTGAGTACGAGGGCCACGAATACGGCAAAGACAGCAGAGTGCAGCCGAGTACCGCTGAGCGCGTCTCCTCCACAGTGGTGGCTTGAATACACGGGTCTGTCTGTCCACCCATCTAGGGTCTGCTGCCGCAACTGCGGCAGGAGGCGGCTCGCCCGCGTGCTCGCCCTTTCCGGCGGCGGCCGCCGCCTTCTCCTGCTCGCGCCTTCTCCGGAGCGCGGCGCGCAGGCGCGGCGGCATATCCGACTCGTGATCGTCGTCGTCGTCGTCGTCGTCGTCGGCCTGGCTCGAGCGCAAGGCCGCCTCGAGGAAGGCGAGGTTCCCGACGCCCACCCGCCGCCCCTCGACCGTCGCACTGACGCCGTCCCGCCCGTGCCGCTGGTAGCCGCTCGTGGCGGGCAGGCTCTCGCCCGAGGCCACAAAGTCGGCGACGCAGCCCTTGTAGCTCGCCACCAAGCTGCGCGCGAGCGGGTGGTTGTCCTGGTCCTCGACAGCCGCCACCCATCGGTGCAGTACCTGCCGCGTGTGCGCCGCCCCGGGCAGAGGCTCCAGCCTCAAGAGCTCAAAGTGGCCCGTAGTCAGAGTGCCCGTCTTGTCGAGCCCGATCGCCTGAGCGTGAGTCACTCCCTTGTGAATGCACTGGCACTGACTACTCAGTGTTGGGGCATGAGCTTCATGATTGGTCGATCACCTGCATCACCGCCAGAGCCTCGAGCGTCCTCGCGTGCTTGACGAGGAGGCGGTGCCGGCCCGCGAGAAGCGTCAGCGTCGCGCCCTGCACAAACGGCGCCGCGCCGAGCAGCGCGCACGGGCATCCGGCCACCACCACGACCAGAAACTGCTGGAAGCCCTTGTACAGCCCGAGCGCCACCGCCAAGCCGAGGACAGTGGGGGTGTACCAAGTGGCGAACCTGCCGACGAGCTCCTCCATCTCCGAGAGCGTCGTCTTCGCCTCTTCGACTGCAGACGCGACGCGCGCCTGGAAGGAGCCCGAGACAGGCGCCTCGGCACGCACGTGTAGGTAGCCCGCCGACACGATCGCACCGGAGAGGACGCTATCTCCCTTGCGCTTGGCCTGCGGGAGGTGCATCCGAGGTGCAGCTGAGGTGCAGCCGAGGTGCAGCTGAGGTGCAGCCGAGGTGCAGCCGAGGTGCAGCTGAGGTGCAGCCGAGGTGCAGCCAAGGTGCGGCCGAGGCTTGGCCTGCGGCATGGCCTCTCCAGTCACGCGGGACTCGTCGAGCGCGGCCGTTCCCGCGACGACCCTTCCGTCTGCAGGCACGACGTCGCCCACGCGCAGCAAGTACACGTCGCCCGCCGCCAGGCTCGCCAGCGGCACTTTCCCGCCGCCGGGCACCTGCGGAGGGATCCATGGGCCAGGGATCCATGGGCCAGTCAGTGTCACACAGTCTCGTCAAGACGGGACGTGGAGGCGCGATGATCGCCCCCCCCCCCCCCCCCGCTTCCCATATCGGTCTGGGGAGCGTCTTCGGAAGTGTCTCGGAACACCTCGACGCCGAGTGGCTCAGAGACGACGGAGCCGCGCAGCCGCCGACCGACCGCCTCGAGCGCGCAGACCTTGACTAAGTCCATCAGCGTGACCAACGCGCCGACCGAGGCGGCCTCGACCACGTTGCCCTGTACCAGCGCGCCTACTCTCGGTCAATCTCGGCTAGATCTCGGCGATATCTCGACCACGCTGCCCCTGCACCAGCGCGCCGACCACCGCGATCGCCATCATCAGCTCCACGTTTGGCGAGCGACGCCGCAGCGCGAGGTACGCCTCGTGGAAGAGCGCGACGCTCATCGCGACGCACGCCCACGCAAGCCCGTACGCCATCTTTGGGAAGCCGACGCGCGGCAGCGCGAGGGTCGCCGCGAAGAGTACGATCTGAGTCGCGTTGACGGTGAGGCGGACGATCTCCGCGTGGTTGAAGCTGCTGCCCACCGACTCGACCACCGACTTGTCCTGCAGCGACGCGCCCAGGTGCTTCCGGTTCAGCATGTCGACGATCGACTCTGGCGCGAGCCCGTCTGTATGCTCAACGTTGACACGGCGATCAGTGACAGAGATCTTGACCTCGGCCACCGCCTCGAGCGGACCGAGCATGTCCCGGATGAGCTTCGCCTCCATCCCGCAGCAGAGGTGGTCCACGCGGACGACGGTGCTGCGCAGCATGACCAACACTGTGGCGAAGTGGCCCGGCGAGGCGTCGGTGCGAGAGAGAGAACCGTGGATCTAGCTCTTCTCGCGCAGTGATGTGGAGGCGGTGGTGAAGAAGATCATTTGTTTTCTTTCTTTTAGGAGTCTCGAGGTTCTCGAGGTGGATATCCTTTGGCCGCGTTGGGTAGCGAGGATTGGTGTAACCCGAGCCACGGAGGCGTGTTTTCTGACGGCCGACCGTCAGTGCACGGAGTTGCCACTTCTCCGACTGCCCCGGCTAGTTCACGGGTTTCGCGGGAGTGACCCCATGCGTCAAACCCGAGACCTAGCGCGGGTGGGTTGGAGGGGCCTCGGAAAGGCGCGCAAGCACGCCCTACGTCTTCCCCTCCTCCCCATCGGGCCGCGTGAGCGGCCACGCCTCGCAGATTCGTTTCCGCGCCTGGGTCAGGCGCGCGGGGCATCCCCCGGGTCGCTCGACCAGCGATCCGAAGAGTGGCCGCTATGCGAAGGAAAGAGTGGGGCCCTCGACGCCTCAGTCCGGCCCTCCGAGGGGGGAAGGGAATTGCGGGGTCCCCTCGGGCGCCTCAGTTCGGCCCTCCCGAGGGGGGGAGGGGAGCAAGGGGGTGGGGGGATCGGGGCGGGGGGGGAGGGGTCTCGGTTGCATGGGTCTAATGCTTGCCTTGAACCTCCCAGAGCTCGTCCCGGTCCGTCACGGCCATCCTTGGCCTCCGGAGGGCCCCCGGCCGCGGCGCGGTGTGGCGGCGTCGCAAATCCGACCACAGAGCACCGGGACGCGGTCGGGCGATCTGAGGCCCAACTAGGCGTATGCATTGCCCATCCAGGGCTATCACCTGGACCCATCAACAGGCGCCTGCGGCGCCGTGGTCACGAGGTGTTGTTCACAGCCTTGTTATTGAGAAGAAAATACCTCTTATGGCGCTGTGCGCTGGCCTGTGAGAGGTTGAGGTGCGAGCCCTGGAGGCCCTGGGGATGGTTCACACCTGTCCAAGCATTCATGCAGACAGTAGTCAAGCACATGCAGACCCCTGTGTAATATTGGCGCGCGCGGGGGGCCATGACGCTTCCGCCGGACAACCGCATCTTGGGGGTCGACATGTACCGCGCCACCGCGCTCTCGATGGTCCTCTGGCTGGGTCTTCTCGAGGTGACCGAGGCGTGCGGCGAGGACGAGTGCAACTGGACGCAGCCGCTCCACTACTTTGAGCAGCTCTCCGGCCTCTTCTTCCTGCTCTCGGGCCTGGGCAACGCGCTCTCCATCCTGCGCAACCTCCAGCGCGGCCGCTCCGCCGCCTCTCTCCTGTGGGCGCAGCTCCTTCGCTCCGCCATCCTCACCGCGGTCGGCGTCGGCATGCGCGGCGTCTGCCTCTTCGTCACGCGCCTCGCAAAGCCGCTGCACAAGGACGAGGCGACTCCGTCGTCCGCCTGGCCGCCGTATGCGGAGTGGCCGTCGCTGCTGCGCGCCGACGGACTCGCTGCCCTCGAGTCTCCGCGCGCCCTCGCCTTTCACGGCGTCACGACCGGCCTGGCCTCCGTCGTCGTGTTTCTCCTCCTCGCCCTCCGCCTGCCCGCCGCCGCTCTGCCGCCCGCGCTGCTCGCCGCCGCCGCCGCCACGCTCGCCGCCAACGCGCCCGCGCGCCGACTCGCCGACGGCGCCACGTGCTGCACCCCGCCGCTGCCGGCCGAGGCGGCGCCCGGCAGCGGTCCGCCCGGCGGCGGTCCCGACACGAGCGCGCCGCGCCACCCTCTCTTCCTGTGCGGCGAGACGAGCCTGAGCTTCACGGCGTCGCCCGGGGCGCTGCCGTACTTTCGGGTCCCCGCGGCGTGCGCCGTCGTGCACGGCTACGCCAACACCAGCGGCACCGTCCACACTCCCAACGCCTTTGACCCGTGCGACTTTGGCGCGCCGGCAGGCGGCGGCTCGCTCTACCTCCCTCCGTGCCACACGAGCGAGCGAGCTGCCGAGGGTGCCACCGCCGCCAACGACGGCGCCGCACGAGCGCGGGAGGTGCCGCCCAGGCCAGGCCGACTGTGCGAGTCCCGCCGCTCCCTTGTATCGTCAAACTGCTCCGAGCCTTCTGCGTGGCCGTGCGCCGCCGCCGGCTGCCGCAAGCCTCCCGAGCTGCCGGCGGCGAGCGGCGTGCTGCCGCGGCCTCCACCCGCCGACGCCGCGGCGGCGGCGAGTCTGACGGCTCTAGACGGCGCGGCTGCAGCTGGCTGCGCGCCTCTCGCCGCCGCCGGCCTCTGCTCCGCCGACTTTGGAGAGGCGGCCGCTGCCGTCGGAATCGATGTCAGCGCGGCGGGCGAGGGCGGGGCGCTGCCTGCCGCCGACACGCCCGTCACCGAGCTGTGCCCGCTCTCGTGCACGCCGACACTGTGCTCCAACTCGAAGAGCTCCGCAGCGCAGGCGGCTTCCAGAAGTACTCCCTCCCTCCCTCCCTCCCTCCCTCCCCTCCCTCCCTCCCTCCCTCCCTCCCTCCCTCCCTCCCTCCCTCCCTCCCTCCCTCCCTCCCTCCCTCCCTCCCCATTGATCAGTGATCAGTTGAGCAGGCGGCGCGCTTCAAGAAGTCGGTGGACGCCTCAATGGATGACAAGACGGAGGAGGAGAAGGCCGAGGTGGAGGCGCGCAAGCGGGCGGCGGCGGAGAAGAAGCGCGCCGTGCGGAGGGTGCTGCTGCGCGGCGCAGGCTGTGCTGCGACCCATGAGCGCGTGGCGGCGAGGTGCGTAGGCGGCGCGAGGCGGACGCGGCGAACGCCGACGGCGCGGAGGGCGAGGCGCGGCGGAAGGCGCAGCTGCGCGAGCGCGCGTGCCGCTCGATGCTCGAGCGGCATATGGGCGCGGCGCGGCGCAGTTGGGGCCCCGCCGCCCTAGAAAGAAGTCGGGAGCCACGACTCTCTTCCCCCAGCGACCTCTCGAGAGGAGCACCCGTACTCCGCTGTATTCCGCCGCATGCAGCCGTGTTGGTAGCCCCCTCGTGATCCTGCGATGCTGCGAGTGCCGGCGCGAGGCCGTACTCCCACCCTGACCGCCTCGGCAATCGGCGTGGTTCACGACGCAGGCCTCCCGCCCGCCGACCTCGGCGCAATCTGGTGCCCCGAGATCACAATCTCGGAGGTGACGCGCCGGCCCGAGGTCGTGGCCCGCGTCTGCCAGCGCCAGCCGTGGTACCGCACCAAGTTCACGCGCGAGCACTCCTACAACCACACCGCGCGCACGTGGCAGACCTCGCGAGACGCGGCGCCGCGCACCGCCGGCGCCGTCTACCTCGTCCGCGCCACCGGCGCGGCGCTGCAGCTGCTGTTTGGCCTGCACGGCGCCACCGCGTACCTAGCGCCCACCCTTGCCGGCTGCGCGCTGGGCGCCCACATCCACACGCGCGGCGGCGTCTCGTGGCGGCTGCTCGCCGCCGCAGCCGCGTGCATCTCCGCCGCCGCGTGCGTCGGAGTCCGCGGTCTGTACCTGCTCCGGAAGAAGGCCGCCTCTCCGGGCGCCTTCCCGGAGCAAGTCGCGGAAGACGCGCTGGAGCGAGGCGCCTCGCAGGTGCGAGGCGAGGAGTCGCTTGCCTCCTCGACACGCCCTAGACACGCCCTAGACACGGCCTAGACACGCCCTAGACACGTTCTAGACACGCCCTAGACACGTCCTAGACACGCATGCGTACGAACCAGATCGCATTCAGCCTTGGTTGATGAGCAGGTGCGGCTGCTCTGGCTCGCTCCGGAGGCGGCGTGCCTCGTCGCCACTTTTGCCATCATCGATTTGCCGAGCGCCCGATCGCGACGGCACCGCGCGGTCCGTAAGACGGCCTGAGATCGCCCGAGATCGCCCGAGATCGCCCGAGATCGACGCCAGCCCCGCGACGCATAAATTGAGTCATGAGTACAGATTCATTATTCATGAATGCCCCGCCAGCCCCGCGACGCGCACTCGCGGTTTGCCCTAGGGTTAGCGGTTTGCCCTAGGGTTAGGGTACCGTGGGGGTAGGGGATGGGTGGGTATCGTGGGGGTAGGGGAGTCCGCCACCGTCAGCACTCGCGGTTTGCGCGTCGAGCCACGCACGGGCCGCCGCCGTAGGTGTGGGAGGCGCAGACCCGCGCCTTCCGCCGCGTCGGGCAGATGAGCCTCACCGTCTACGCGTGGATGGAGCCGCTCGCACAGCTCGCTCGAATCCCGCTCCAGCGCGCGTTGCACGCGCGCGGCATGAGCGTCGAGCGCGCCAAGCGGCAGCAGCCGGCCGAGCAGGCGGCGCTGCTCGGCTTCATCGTCGGCAACTACCTGCTCTGGATCGGCGTGCTCGCGGCGTGGTCGCGATTGCGGTACGCAGGCGCCGCGTCGGCCGGCCACTTCGCCGAACCTTCGCGAGATTGAGCGAGATGACCCGAGATTGTGGCGAGATGTAGGCTCGTTCGAGTGGCTCATCGAGCGGCTCGTCGCCTCGCGCTCACAGATCGCCTCCAAGCGGGGTGGCGGCGGTGGCGGCGGTGGCGGCGGTGGCGGCGCGGCGGCGGCGGGAGGAGGAGGAGGAGAAGGGGGAGGAGGAGGAGAAGGAGAAGGGGGAGGAGGAAGAGGCGGCGGCGGCGTTGCGGGCGGCGATCCGCCCCCGACGGGCGTGCTCTTCGATGGCGGCTGGCTCGACTGGGCAGTGGTCTGGGCAGAGATCCTTGGGATCATCTGGGTTCCGGCACTTGTCTTCCGGCTCGTCTTCACGGCGATGGCGGCGGAGATGGGCGACATCTACCACCAGATGAACTCGACCCACTTTTGGGTCTCCAACGTGACCGCCGACGACGAGCCCGCAAGCCACCGCAGGGGCCGGGACAAGCCGCCGCCGCCACAGCGGGCCAACCTCAACGCGCTGCTGCTCGGGCTCACCGTTGCCACCGTAAGCGCCGGGATGCTCCTCGGCCTCGCTTCGCTGGCCGCGCGACGCTCGGTCGCTCGCCGCCCGCGAGAGAAGGCGGACTAGCACTCCACTAGCACTCCCCACCCCCCTTTTAGCTCTCTAGACTCTTCCCACCGAGACTCTCGTGCACCTGGGCCGCGCCCGTCTTGTGCCACACTTTTGGTACACGTACAGGGTGATACTTATCAGGTAAAAAGGGAGTAGCCACATGCATGCCACCAAAGTTCAACGATATAGCTCACAGGTCTCTCACACTCGCTGCAGTCCCTCAAGCATGCTCAACGGAGGTCAACGATATAGCCATATTATAATATAGCTCTCACAGGTCTGACTCTCTCTCACTCGCGCGCTGCACGTGCAGTGTGCCCCGCTGCAGCGAGCTGCACTCTCCACATACACCATGATTACAGGACATTTTGCCTATGTACGGCTGGCTTCTCAGTGGAGACAGTATGTAACGATGTATCAGTATACAGTAACGTGACACACACTCTACTGAGACGAGAATCGAGTCCGCGCTCCTCAGTACTTCAGAGCGCAGGGCAGACGATGTGGAGGCGGAGCAGACGCGCAGGGCGAGACGAGGGAGGGAGCAGGACTTTGCGGAGATCAGCAGGAGGATGTACGAAGAGATTAGGAGATAGGAGCAGCAGGGACCCGAGGGACCATGTGGAAAATAGACGGCTAGTGCTAGTCCCCCACATCGGGAGGACGACCCCGGCTAGCCGCCGACCACACCCACAAAGAACCCTGCACAAAGATCGCACGGGCGGGGATTGTTCCTTTTTACCCATCTCACAGTAGAGAGGTGTCCGTTTTTATTTATTTATTCAGAGCACACACACGTACACACACACACACACGTACACACACACACTCTCTCTCTCTCTCTCACACACACAGCCTAGCGCTTGTGGTGCACGACACGACGCACGGCGGCCGTTTTGGCGGGCTGAGCGGGCTCTTCCCTCATACGGCTGCCTGCGAGCCGCCGCATAGCTCGCGCAGATGGGCAACCTCCGCCTCGAGGTCGTGCACGTACTGCTCGTGGTCGACGCGGCGTAGCAGGCTCTGCAGACCCGGGTCGAGGGCGTGCCAAGCGCCTGTTTGCCGCTCGTTGAAATTGACGCGGTCCGCGAACCAGCGCTGCGCGACCGACAGGTACAGCACGTCGCGATGGCGGGGCGAGCGGTTGGCGGTGCCTCGGTGCGCGAGCCGGATGTCAAAGAGGACCGTGGCGCCGGCAGGAGCGGCAAAGGTCAGGGTGGAGAGCCTTCCACGCTGGTCCCGCACGCCGCGCTGTAGCAAGGAGGCAGACAGCGACGCCTAGTGGTAGCAGGAGCGGGCGACTGAACCGACCTCAACCCTTGGCCGCGCTTCGTCGGCCAGACAGCGACGCCTGGACAGCGGGGTCGACCGGTCGCCCGTTGAGGAGGTCGACCGCGGACGGCCACCACAAGCCGCTCTCGCCGGCGCCGCCGAGAGAATAGCGGAGGTGCGACCCAGGGATGAACTCGGTCGGCCCGTTGCTGCCATTGCCGAGCTCAAGGCTGGTGAGAGGCACCATCGCGACCAGCCCCGCAGGAGGCAGGTTGGCGCCGGCTGCATCGCGATGGAAGTTTGCATCGTCTCGAAAGAGGTCGTCAACGTCCATGTGCCACACCTGGTCGGCCGAGCCGGGCGACGCGCGCACCACCGAAAAGGTGTCGAGCTCCACGTGCCGGTGCCTCAGCATCAAGCCGACAACCTGTCGGAGCGCCGAGGGGCCGCCGCCGATCGGAGCGTCGAGCACGAACGGCGGCCGCGCCGGCAGCTTGAGCTCGAGGCGGCCGCGGTCGCGAGGTGCGAGCCGGTCCGTAACCGAATCTGCCGAAGCGGCCAGGCACACGTCCCCGTCGCCACGGCAGCTGCCGCTCTCCACTGCAAACTCGGCGTCCACGCTAGCCTGCAGCCTCTCGAGCGCCGCTCCGCTCATGGGAGGGTCGCTCACCAGCGTCACGACGCCGCAGACCCGCAGACCCGCGAGGGCCAGCCGCAGCGACGTCGCACTTGGCCCCGACCCTTCGACACGCACCACCAGATTTGGGACAGTGCACAGCTTGCGGAACGGGCCGCCGGGGGCGGTCAGTCGGTCGGGGTCCGCGAGTGCAGCGATCGCGGCGCGAACCAGCGCAGTGCCGCCGTCGGCGAGCGCCTGGGCGTCGGTCGCACACAGACGGGGCGGGGCGAGGAGGGACAGCACTGCCTCCCGCGCGGCGGTGGCGCTGGCTGCTCCGCCCAGCCACTCTGCCAGCTCGAGAGCAGCCTCGCTCTCGCGCAGCCTCTCGAGTGCTCGCCGCTCGACTGGCGTCGTGGCGCAGGAAGCACGCGCCGGCGCCGGGCCCTGCTCCTCCGCCGCAGACGTGTACAGGTCGAAGGCCGCCTGGCGTGTCAGGGGCAGGGGCTCGCCGTCCAAGTCGGCGCACGCCTCGGCGGCCTGCCGCGACATTCGGAGAGGGTGAGCCTCGCTGCGTCGCGTAGCCACTAGCGGCACGTCGGCCTTCACCTGGCACACACCCAGCCTGGCCCAGACGTGCGCCTGCCATGGGAAGAGGCGAAGGTGCGCGCGGAGCATCGTGCATACTGTCGCGCCGTCCCCATCGCTGTCGGCGCTGTCTGCCGCCTCGAGGAAGAAGCCGTCATTGCCATGGAGCTCCGGCTCAGATGCGGCGAGGGTGGCCAGCCCGGGGTACAGCTCTGAGTGTGTCTGAGCAACGCTCACCGCAGTGAGGGCAATGCGCGCCGCGAGCATCATGCCGCGTGCGTGATGACAAGTACAAGTAGGATGTGACCGCGATCTGCTCTGCACTGTCGGCAACACTCTGCAGGCGCGAATTGTGGGGACGCACGTCCAATACACACAGACTGCGCGATCGCGTATTATGATCGGTGTGAAAACAGCATAGTATGTGTGAATATAGTAAGTAGTACATGCCCCTGTGAGCTCAGGCAGTCCTCTAGTGTGCCTGGACTTGGCCTGAGCAAATAGTAGCGTTTGGGGCCTACTGTCTGAATACGTTTTCCACGTATTCCAAATGACCTCCCAGAGGCCTGTATTCTGCCGTATTCCACCCGTATTCCACGTATTCCATGGAATACGCCGTATTCCAAGCTCCCAAAATGGACGTATTCCGTTTAAAATTTTCTTCGCTCCGCGAATTCAGACAGTAGGGTTTGGGGCGTGAATTTAGCCGAAGTGGACCTTGCCCAGCAAGGTCCACCAGAGGCCATGTGTCGGGGCAGCCACAAGCGGGCTGGGCATGGGCGAGTCGACCTGACAGGCCGCTCGCTGCCCCAACTCGACTTACAACTCGACTTAGCCACGGACTTGGCTCACACCCAGGTCGTTGTACTTCAAGGCTAATAAATAAATAAATAAAAACGGACACCTCTCTACTGTGAGATGGGTAAAAAGGAACAGGCCCCCGCCCTTGCGATCTTTGTGCAGGGTTCTTTGTGGGTGTGGTCGGCGACTAGCCGGGGTCGTCCTCCCGATGGGGGACTAGCACTAGCCGTCTTCCACATGGTCCCTCGGGTCCCTGCTGCTCCTAATCTCTTCGTACATCCTCCTGCTGATCTCCGCAAAGTCCTGCTCCCTCCCTCGTCTCGCCCTGCGCGTCTGCTCCGCCTCACCGTCTTCTGCCCTGCGTCGTCTGGCGACGGGTCCTCCATAGTCGGTCGAGGTCGCCGCCCTCCTCGTGCCTCTTCCCAACGTTCCCTCGGCGGCCGATGCCGTCTGCTCCGGCTCCCCAGTCCCCGGGTCTGCCCTGCTCTCGTCTGCGCTAGTTTCTGCTTCGTCCTCACCGGCGTCTCTCCTCTTCCCTCTCCCCTTCTTGTATGCTTTGCACATCGCGTCGATTCCTGTTCGCGTGAGCACCAGCCTGAAGCCCGCCCAGCATCTGAACCGCTCCCTAAGTCGAAGGAGCATCATCAGTCTCACCCACTTCGCTCTCTGCCCACCGACTCCGCTCCCTCCCGCTTGAGCCGCCGTCGCGGCCCTCGTTCGTCCCACTGGCTGTTGGCCTGTTCCCACGTTACCCCGTCCTCCTCGCCACTCGGCTCGGTGTGAGTGAGTATTCTTGATACGAAACCACGACGACACACACCAGTCGACTCGCATCGGTTGCCTCCATGAACGGCGGAGCTATTCTCGCGCCCACACCACACCTGGCTCCAACGTGGACACGCCCATAGCTGGGGACACTACTAGGTCACGCATGGCATCACAGAAGTTTTATCTCTGGGCCCCGAAAGGCATCTCTAGCAGTGTCGTTACACATGCCCCCTCCCCTCCTGGGCGCATGCGCCTCACGTCTCGCCAGAGCATAAGCCCTTGGCGTGTGGCGAGACGAGTTTTTCGCCATCGCCGCGAGCAGCAAGCCGCCCGCCGCAAACAGCCGGAGGCCTCGCCGCGGCACTGGCTGCGCCGCGGTCCCGCACCCGTCGACGCAGCTCCCCCCGCGGAAGACCGCGCGTAGCGAGGTCTTGACGATCGAGATGAGCGTGCCTGAAGCTCGCCCACCTACTGCCCCTGAGAGTTGGTTATTGAGTGGGATCAGCTCCCCCCCTTGGGATCGAAGCCGCCACAACCTCACACCCAACATCCCAGGCGGGATCAGAAGGGGACTCCACACCGGACACCGCCCGGGCACAGCCCCCCTACCCGTCGGATCGCACAGAGGGCCCCCTCGGAGCAGCCCACACACAATCACGCATCGGCAGATTGAGTGCCTGAGTCAGGCAGACAGCACAGACAAGAGGAGAGAGAGAGAGAGAGAGAGGAGAGAGGAGAGGGTGAGGGTGTGAACACACGTGAGGAGTGGGGGAGGGTGTCTGTGGTGGGCTGTAGTCCTACTACGTGGTTACAACCACGCGCCCCTCAGGAGCTAAGGTAGAGTGTTTGGGTGTCAAAACACCGGGTCGGCGCCAGGCTTAGACAGCCTGTCGCACGACGGGGTGACTGCGAGGCAGTCCGAGCACGAACTAGTCGTCGATCCGCTGACGATCCCCGCCGCTTCACCGTCGGAGCGGCGGCGGGTGAGAGTTAGCGTCAAAGGTCCACCAGCACAGCCTCCAGCCACCAGCCTCCACCTCCACCGTCGAGCCGCGATCGCTGCCGCCCGCGACGCCGCCCGCCGCGTCAGATAGCCGCGTCGCGCGCACCGAGTCGAGTCGGAGAGCCGAGCCGCACCAGCAGGAGCATCTGCACCAGCAGCAGCAGCACCACCACCACCACCACCACCCGAGAGAGAAGCGCACCTGCCCGACGCCGCCCGCCGCGTCAGACGCTCGCGACGCGCGCGTCGAGCCCAGTCGCAGAGCCGCGCCGCGCCAGCAGCAGCATCTGCACCAGCAGCAGCAGCACCACCACCACCAGCAGCAACAGAGACAGGCAGAGCAGGCGCAGAAGCGCTCGCAGAGCGGCGCGCAGCGCCGCGCACGCCACGCTGCGGACCGTCGGACGAGCGCACCGTACGTCGGCGGCGAGCCGCGTCGCCAGCCGTCTCGCGAGAGAGCGGCGCCGCCGCGTGCGCGCAGCAGCCGCCGCGGCAGAGGCGAGCCGCGGCGACGTCCGCACTAACGGATAACGGCCATGGCGGTTTTTTTTTTTTACACACACACAGAAAGAAAGAAAACAGCCAACCCAAGGGAGGGATGGGAGGACGGTACGCCGCCACCACACAGGGATTTTAGGGGGGAAGTGTGGTGTTAGCCGTCGCCCACCCTCGGGCGTCTACCACTTCCTATCTCTCTCCGCAGTTTATCACCAATTCTTGCAGCGACCTTCATGCCCACACACACACACTCGGCTGAGTCAGAAAATTCTTTTCTTCACCTCCACATTCACTGAAGACGTGAAGAGCTGATGCACGGTCTCTCGCACCGACGCCTCGCCGGGCCACTTCGCCACAGTGTTGGTCATGCTGCGCAGCACCGTCGTCCGCGTGGACCACCTCTGCTGCGGGATGGAGGCAAAGCTAATCCGGGACATGCTCGGTCCGCTCGAGGCGGTGGCCGAGGTCAAGATCTCTGTCACTGATCGCCGTGTCAACGTTGAGCATACAGACGGGCTCGCGCCAGAGTCGATCGTCGACATGCTGAACCGGAAGCACCTGGGCGCGTCGCTGCAGGACAAGTCGGTGGTCGAGTCGGTGGGCAGCAGCTTCAACCACGCGGAGATCGTCCGCCTCACCGTCAACGCGACTCAGATCGTACTCTTCGCGGCGACCCTCGCGCTGCCGCGCGTCGGCTTCCCAAAGATGGCGTACGGGCTTGCGTGGGCGTGCGTCGCGATGAGCGTCGCGCTCTTCCACGAGGCGTACCTCGCGCTGCGGCGTCGCTCGCCAAACGTGGAGCTGATGATGGCGATCGCGGTGGTCGGCGCGCTGGTGCAGGGGCAGCGTGGTCGAGATATCGCCGAGATCTAGCCGAGATTGACCGAGAGTAGGCGCGCTGGTACAGGGCAACGTGGTCGAGGCCGCCTCGGTCGGCGCGTTGGTCACGCTGATGGACTTAGTCAAGGTCTGCGCGCTCGAGGCGGTCGGTCGGCGGCTGCGCGGCTCCGTCGTCTCTGAGCCACTCGGCGTCGAGGTGTTCCGAGACACTTCCGAAGACGCTCCCCAGACCGATATGGGAAGCGGGGGGGGGGGGGGGGGCGATCATCGCGCCTCCACGTCCCGTCTTGACGAGACTGTGTGACACTGACTGGCCCATGGATCCCTGGCCCATGGATCCCTCCGCAGGTGCCCGGCGGCGGGAAAGTGCCGCTGGCGAGCCTGGCGGCGGGCGACGTGTACTTGCTGCGCGTGGGCGACGTCGTGCCTGCAGACGGAAGGGTCGTCGCGGGAACGGCCGCGCTCGACGAGTCCCGCGTGACTGGAGAGGCCATGCCGCAGGCCAAGCCTCGGCCGCACCTCGGCTGCACCTCGGCTGCACCTCAGCTGCACCTCGGCTGCACCTCAGCTGCACCTCGGCTGCACCTCAGCTGCACCTCGGATGCACCTCCCGCAGGCCAAGCGCAAGGGAGATAGCGTCCTCTCCGGTGCGATCGTGTCGGCGGGCTACCTACACGTGCGTGCCGAGGCGCCTGTCTCGGGCTCCTTCCAGGCGCGCGTCGCGTCTGCAGTCGAAGAGGCGAAGACGACGCTCTCGGAGATGGAGGAGCTCGTCGGCAGGTTCGCCACTTGGTACACCCCCACTGTCCTCGGCTTGGCGGTGGCGCTCGGGCTGTACAAGGGCTTCCAGCAGTTTCTGGTCGTGGTGGTGGCCGGATGCCCGTGCGCGCTGCTCGGCGCGGCGCCGTTTGTGCAGGGCGCGACGCTGACGCTTCTCGCGGGCCGGCACCGCCTCCTCGTCAAGCACGCGAGGACGCTCGAGGCTCTGGCGGTGATGCAGGTGATCGACCAATCATGAAGCTCATGCCCCAACACTGAGTAGTCAGTGCCAGTGCATTCACAAGGGAGTGACTCACGCTCAGGCGATCGGGCTCGACAAGACGGGCACTCTGACTACGGGCCACTTTGAGCTCTTGAGGCTGGAGCCTCTGCCCGGGGCGGCGCACACGCGGCAGGTACTGCACCGATGGGTGGCGGCTGTCGAGGACCAGGACAACCACCCGCTCGCGCGCAGCTTGGTGGCGAGCTACAAGGGCTGCGTCGCCGACTTTGTGGCCTCGGGCGAGAGCCTGCCCGCCACGAGCGGCTACCAGCGGCACGGGCGGGACGGCGTCAGTGCGACGGTCGAGGGGCGGCGGGTGGGCGTCGGGAACCTCGCCTTCCTCGAGGCGGCCTTGCGCTCGAGCCAGGCCGACGACGACGACGACGACGACGACGATGACGAGGTGGAGATGCCGCCGCGCCTGCGCGCCGCGCTCCGGAGAAGGCGCGAGCAGGAGAAGGCGGCGGCCGCCGCCGGAAAGGGCGAGCACGCGGGCGAGCCGCTTCCTGCCGCAGTTGCGGCAGCAGACCCTAGATGGGTGGACAGACAGACCCGTGTATTCAAGCCACCACTGTGGAGGAGACGCGCTCAGCGGTACTCGGCTGCACTCTGCTGTCTTTGCCGTATTCGTGGCCCTCGTACTCACGCGGTGCTCCGGGTACACCACGAGGCCGTCTCCACGCCCTGACTCTGGCGTGGTCACGGCGCAGGCAGCGGACGCCGCGCAGCGCCTCGCGGCGGAGATCACGAGCGAGCAGGCCGGCAGCGGCAGCGTGCTCTATGTGGTTGTGGACGGCGTCGTTGGCGGCGTGATGCTGCTGGACGACGCTCTCAAGCCGCAGGCGCAGCCGCGTAGTACAGCCATGCGCGCACACGCCCTAACAACTGCGGTGCGGCGCAGCAACGAAGCACCGACAACAAGACAGCCGTCCACACGACAGCCGTCCACACGACAGCCGTCCACCGCTGCCACGAGAGGTGCAGCGGCCGCCGCCGTGCAGCCGGCCCTCGTGGGCAGACAGCCTGGTGGACGGGTTCATGCATCAGCTAGGCGGCCGCCACCGTGCAGCAGCTGCGAGGCCTCGGCGTGCGCCCGATCCTGCTGACGGGGGACCGCTCGGCGGCGGCCCGACGCGTGGCGAGAGCCGTCGGCATCGGCGAAGCGGACACGCACGCGGGCTTGCTGCCGACTGTCATCGCTTGCCCGAGTAGCACATTGCAGTTGTTCACTGTGGCTGTGGTGTGTAGGTTTGCTGCCCGCCGACAAGCAGCGGATTATCCTCGCGCACACTTGGCCGCAAGACGAGCCCCGCGCGCAGGACCTGGAGCAGAGCATGCTGCCGAGGGCGGGTCGCGGCCCGTTGGTCGTGGGCTTCGTCGGCGACGGCCTCAACGACTGCCCCGCGCTCGCCAGCGCGCACGTGGGGATTGTGCTGCAGGAGGTGGGCACGCAGGCGACCGTCGACGCCGCGTCGGCGGTCCTCCAAGTGGACATCGACCAGCTGCCCGCGGCGGTCACCATCGCCCGACGCGCGCGCCGACTCGTGCTCACCAACCTCCTGCTCGCTCTCAGCATCAATGTGGCTGTCATCGGCCTCGCGGCGACGTGTGGGCTGCCGCTGTGGCTCTCGGTCCTCTCCGACTCTGGCGGCCTGCTCGTCGTCCTCGCCAACTCTCTCTGGCCGCTCACGTGGCGCGTCGGGCAGGCAGCGCCGCGGGCGCGCCACAACTCCTTTGGGCTGGGATGAGAGAGAGCGGCACACGCGGCGGCGCGCACCGACCCAGTCTCACACGGGAGCTGCAGCTGCGCATGGTAAGGTATAAACTTCTCCACACGCAAGTAATTTAGTTATATAGGGAGGTTCGGGTTGCGCAGCGTCCTAAAATCTGAGGGTTCACCGCGTCGGTTCATCCCTCGGTTCATCTTCATGATCTTGAGGCTTCGCTTCTATCTATAGTATAAAGTGTAAGTATCTCTAGTAGCCGTTTTGTACCTTCACGTTCAGTGATAGTGTCGAAAGACAAAGTGTGAGTTTATTGGTGTGGATGCAGGAACCAGGACGGCAGTATAATTTAAGAACGACGCACCCTCACAGAGCAGCGCAGAGCCGCACGCACGCGCTGTGTGAAGTAGAGCGCCGCGTTGCCGTCGCGGCGGTCGAGCTGCCGCATGCCGCTCGTGGATCTCGTAGTGCGAGCGAACGAGGTTCCGGGGGCTAGAAGTTCAGCACTCGCCTGCGGACAGGTCTAAGTTTTGGGCAAAAAACTTACTACCCAGCCTTTGATTTTGCAAGGGCGAGGGTGAGGGGGCGCATCGCGGTGCGGGGAAAAGGGCTGCGGCTGGGCACAAGGTGTCGAGCAGGGGCAAGCGATCTCGCACGCAGCCTTGGCGTCCTCGACCGACAAGTCTTCCACACAGACCTCCTCAAGGGGCGGTTGCTCGCCGCAATACCCCTCCATCTGCTGGTCGTCCAGGGCCCCACAAGCCAACGTTAGGCTCGCGAGCTCCTCGGCTGGGAAGAGGATATCCTCCCCGGTGATCGCCTGCAGAGCCGGCTCATCCAGGGTGGCGGCACACGCGCTTGTCGCCCCCCCCTGCGACCAATCCTGGAATTCGGCATAGGCGTACACCTGCGCGAGGCAGTGGAACGAGTTGAGCAGAGAACTTTTGACCGTGCATGCTCTGGGTGTGGCGGCGCACATTCTGGAAGTGTCCTGCCACTCTGGAAGCGTGCCACTTTTGGGATTTAAGCCTCAAGCCGGAGGAGTACGAGAAGATTGTCATCCTCCGCATGAACCGCGCCTTCATGGAGTACATGCGCCAAAACCACGCCAAGTACGCGAAGGCGTGAGCGAGGAGGCGTCGAGGCTGAGCGGGTCCCCCCCTCTTCAATGGTCCGCGGCGGGCGGCGGCGCACCGGGGTAGTCGCGCCCGTAGTCCGCTAGATTGCAGACTATCGCGGACCGTCAGAACTGTGCTAGTGCCGCCTGTGTATATGGGCACCTGAGATTGAGGGCCAGACCGCGTCCGCACGCGCGCACGTGGCGCAGTTGCGCGAGTTCGTTCGTTCAGCGCGGCTCGTGGCTGAACTGCACGCCGAACGAACGAACTTTACGATAATTTTCTTTTTTCCTAAGTTCGAACGGAGTTCACGAACGTTCGTTCGTTTTCGCAGTTCGCGCCTTCCACAGCCGGCGCGGTCCGTTCAGTTTCGAGGTTCGGGCTGGGCCCCGCCGGCTGCGTTCGTTCGAGTTCGGAGTTCGCGAAATCCGCGCGAACTCGAAGGGCTGGCTTAGGCGGCTCCGGTGGTGAGCCGGTGTGTGTGCCAGTCCGCGCCAGTCCGCGCCCTTGTCGTGCCAGTGTGCTGTGAGACAGGTTGCGCACTTGGAGCATTTGGAGTGCAGTCATTAGCCTCACATCCAGGGCGGGCTACTACAATTCTTTTTACTGAGCGCTGACCGACAACTCTCAGTCGTCGCCAGGCGCGTCCGCTCCGCCGCGTTGGTTCGGGCAGCACACGCCCCACCGCAGATCGCCGCCTGGCGCCGCACCCATGCGTCGCGATTTGTGACGGGGGACGGTTTCGCCTCCGTCCACCGGCGCGGGGTGTTCTGCCTCTGGCGACACACGGCTGCTGCTGGCGACCCTGCGTGCCCCCTCCGCCGCGACTGTCCGCCGGGCGTCCTGCGGAGCCCCGCCTGAGAGCCACGCGCGACTGTCGCGCAGGATCGGCCCGGTCTGCCGCGGCGTGGTCTGGGAGCGGCCTGAGCCATGTCGGCTATGGAGCGGAACTGCACGCTGCTGCTGCACGGCAAGGAGGCGACGCCGCCCAACGAGGAGGAGATTCGCGAGCTGCTGGAGGTGCAGGCTGTCGCCCGGCACCCCTTGCACCGACGCGCATCGGGACGAGTGGCGCAGACGGCAGCGTTCAGCGCGAGACCGCTCACGCCGCGGCCCGCGCCCTGTCTGCGCAGGACAAGGATGTGGAGAAGAAGCAGGAGGCGATGAAGACGCTCATCACGCTGCAGCTCAACGGCGCGCGCCCCACCGCCCGCGCCTGCCGCCCGCGCTCCGCGCGGTGGCCAGCGGCCGCCGAACTCCGCGCCGCGCGGGCAGACAGCCCGCATATCTCCCACGCCTCTCGCCGCGCCAACCCAGCGCCTCTCGCCGCTCCCGACGCTCCCGACGCTCCCGACGCTCCCGCTCGCTCCCACCGCTCGCTCCCGACGCGCTCTCCCTCCACTCGCTGCGTTTTTGCGATGCAGGCGAGCCGATGCCCAAGATGCTGA